GCTGTATAGGCGGACCATGCGTTTAATATTCGTGTGAAGGCTTAATGCAAATTGGTATATGAAACACAAAGTCTTTGTCTTTCCATCTCCTTAATTCGTTTTCTTTGCTGACTCCATTTCTGGTTTAAGAAGATTGTTGTATTGAGCTCTTATTTTTCATTATTGTCTGTAGGGGTTTGATGCTCCAATTTAACAATCTCATATGTTAATGTTCACCTCGTTGTCCAACAAGCAACACAAATTGTTTTTTCTTTTAGAATATAATTATGGAAGTACAACATTCTCGCATTAAAACACATGAACAGGCTATTTGCTTGCACACGTACCCGGCCCTGAAGGGATATGCATATATTTCTGTATGTCTTCCGTTAATATACAGTAAAATCTCTCTATAGTCATAATGATGAGACTAACTAATTTTATTACTATGAGGAGGTTATAATTTAACAGAGATGTAGTTAAAAAAAGTTCTTATTTCATAATTCATGTTTTAGTAGTACAATATTAGGATTTCAATTAATGTTTTAATAATATTAGGGTTTCAATTCAACGCTTCAATTGGCTACTTTTAAAACGGATAGAAGATCATGTTTTGAAACCAATAAAAATAATTGTCCTTGATGGAATTGTAAATATAATTGTTGCATGACAGCTGATGTGATTGCCAATTGTTTTAAGCATTATAAAATTAGGATCCTCGATGTCGATAATTGCAAGTTACAAATAAAGTGGACGAGGAGAATCAAAGAGTCATTGTAGAATTAAGTAATCAGATTCGACAACTTTACTATACTAATTGAATGAATATTAATGTCTTCCTTAATCATATAAATGAGTAACAAGTCATGTGTTAATAAAAGAAGAAATCATTTCTACAATTAAATAAGAAGAGAAAGGAAATAATTATGAGGCTGATAGTACGATAATACTAAAAGTTTCATGTCAAAAAGCTCGCTTTAACAAGAAAATGTTTATGTTAGCGATTAATGTACCCGCAAGTTAAAAAATGTAATAACAACTTTAAAACATAAATTATTGTCCCAAATAACTTCAGATAAATATTTTATTTCATCTTAAACCTTTAATGTAACATACCATATATTTTTTTACAATATACAGATAATTATTACTATGTAGAGGCAACTTTCCTTAAGACGGGAATTAGAAAAATTACAACTTATTAAAATGTGGAGTTTATTCTTATTTATAATTATCCCAAATTGGGAATATAATTTTTTATAATTATGTATAGTTTATTTTTTACGTATATGAGGGTGCCCAAGAAAGTGACCATATTAAAGATAAAAAATTCCCTGCACTGCACGCCCTAAAAATCCTTTTCAAATTTAGTAGCATCTACTTCAACTTTGTAGAAAGGAATCAAGGCCAATTTGCTTTTGATAACATTAAGTTTTTCAGTACTGCATCAACTCAACCACATGGGAGGTGACTGGTGAAGTATTGATTAGCTCTGATATATTTGAGATTCTGAATGTCAGGGTGGGATTGCAGGGACAGAATAAATTGTTGTCGCTAATGAGGGATAGTCTTCTTATAGCAAATTTATCTAATTAAACTTTAATTATGATTAATGATTATTGAACGCATCCTTATTCCTTACGTTTAAAATTGAAGGCCAAGTTTCAGCAAATAATTCTATCTGCTTATGTAGCAACCGTTTCGGTCAAATTCTGTCAAATTGAGAAATTTCGGTGGCCCTTTGATTGGACTATATTTTGCGGTCTTCAAGCCATAAACCATTGGTGTGAAAATGGATATCCCTGTAGACCCGTCATGTGTTCAGTCGCAGGAAAGAATTATCGTCCACTTGCAGGAACAGAAAAAACAAGTTAATAATCAAAATGGTAAGTGCTAATGCGGACAACTTGGTTTTATATAGATTGTGGACCCAGCATAAGCTGATTTTATTTGCCACACCAACGCTGCATTATTAATTATACAAAACATTAATTTCTTTTGACCAAGAAATTAATTTCTTGGCCTGAACCTGCTCTCATAGCCTAGGAGCGGCTTTTCATACTCTTCAATTAATGGAATGGACCACAATTTGGGAATTGACGGTAAAGTTGAAATGGGATCATTTTCATTTAATTTTTTCCATGCTTGATCCATTAACTTACAACTTCCCGTGACTTCAAAGACCGAATATTAGACTTTCTAGCTTTCACATTCGAGCTATGGAGATTATTAATAAGCATCCCGAACAGGCAGGACACCCCATCCCACGTATGGATATCTCAATTTTCTTCTTTCTTCTGTTTCTCCTGCAAACTCCTCCAAATTCATCTGCAACATTTCAAGTTCTTGAAGAAGGCTCATCATTATCTGTGGATAATTCAAACGACTATTTGATTTCAGAAAATGGTGTTTACTCTGCGGGGTTTTTCAACGTTGGCGACAATGCTTTCTGCTTTGCCGTATGGTTCATCAATTCCTCGCGTCCCGTTGCGGCTTGGATGGCTAACCGCGATAAACCAGTTAATGGAAAAGGCTCAAAGCTTTCACTTTTGAGAAACGGGGAATCTGTTCTTAACTGATGCATGTGGAATCCCCATTTGGAACTCCAAACCAATTCAACTTCTCGGTTAATCTGTGCTTTTAGACACTGGCAATTTGTGCACCGGAATTCGGAGACTGTTACCCTCTGGCAGAGCTTTGATTCACCAACAGATACCTTTTCTGGCAACCACTCACCAAAGACACACAACTTGTCTCTTCAAGAAGCGAAGGAAACTTTTCTTGGGCTTTTACAAGTTGTACTTTGACAATGACAATGTTCTCCGTCTTCTTTATAATGGTCCTGAGATATCCAGTGTGTAGGGCCAGACCCAACGCTGATAACCTGGGAAGCAGGCAGGACAACATACAACAACAGTCGAATAGCAATATTCAACAATCTAGGCAGCTTCGAATCATCAGATGAACTTCTTTCAAGGCAGCTGATTGGCATGGGACCCCAAAGAAGACTGAAACTTGATTTTGATGGAAATGTTCGAATGTACACCACAAGAGGCAACTGGGACTTGGAGTGTTTCTTGGCAAGCCATTTCTCAACCATGCATGATCCATGATCTGTGGACCAAACAGTCTTTGCAGTTATTCTTCCTGAATCTGTGTCGGATATGCTCTTGCTTACCTGGATTCAAAATAAAAACCCCACAGACTGGTCTCATGGTTGCCAACCTGAATGCAGATCTATTGCAACCATACGGAGGTCGGTTTCCTTCCTCTCTCACACGTTGATTTTTATGGCTATGATATTCGATATATTCCAAATTCCACTTATGAAGATTGTAAAGACGAATGCTTGCAATCGTGTGCTGCAAGGGCTTCATGCTCCTGTTTTGAAACGGTGTGTACAACTGTTATCCCAAATTTCTCTTGGTTAATGGACACCGTTCGCAGAATTTTGATGGAGTCACATACGTCAAACGGCCTAAAGCTAGAATTTCAATATCAAACAATGACACATCCGAGAAAACATTTTTGATATGTCCAAGGGTACGTCTTACTGAGCTTGAAACAATGTACAAAAGACCCAAAGAAAATGAATCATTGAGGTTGTTGATCTGGTTCGCCTGTGGTGTGGGGGAGGGAAATAACCTGCATCTTTTTGGTGTGGTGTTTCCTACTGGAGGTGATGGAGATTTGAATGCAACCATTCAGGATATATTATCGCTGCAACTGGATTTAGAAAAATTTCTTACATCGAGCTTAAAAAGGCCACACTGAACTTCAGTGAAGAGATTGGAAGAGGTGCAGCAGGTACTGTGTACAAAGGGACCTGTCTGATGGACGAGTCGCAGCAATCAAGCGACTCAATGAAGTAACCAAGGAGAGCTGAATTTCTAGCAGAAGTAAGTACTATAGGGAAGCTTAATCACATGAATTTGATAGAGATGTGGGGATATTGTGCAGAGGGAAAGCACAGGCTTTTGGTTTACGAGTATATGAAGCATGGATCTTTAGCAGACAATCTTTCCTCCAACGCACTTAAATGGGAGAAACGGTTCGAAATTGCAGTGGGCGCTGCGAAAGGCTTGTCATATTTGCATGAGGAATGCCTAGAGTGGATCCTACACTGTGACATAAAGCCGCAGAACATTCTGCTAGACTCCGATTACCAACCGAAGGTGGCGGATTTTGGTTTGTCTAAGCTGTTGAATAGGACTGGGCTCAACAACTCAAGCTTCTCAAGAATAAGAGGAACCAGAGGTTACATGGCTCCTGAGTGGGTATATAACCTTCCCATAACCTCAAAAGTTGATGTTTACAGCTATGGGATAGTTGTTTTGGAGTTGGTTACCAGAAAGAGTGCAACAGGTATGCCAACCTTCGACAATGGAGAGGTGACAGGTGATGGAAGATTGGTTAAATGGGTGCGGGAGAAGATGAATGCGACTAGTGCTGGAGAATCTTGGATTGAAGAAATTGTAGACCCCTTGTTGGGGTGCGATTACAACGCAAAAAAGATGGAGCGTCTGGTTAGAGTGGCTTTGAATTGTTTGGAAGAAGACAAAGATGCAAGACCTACCATGAGTCAGGTGGTAGAGATGCTTGTGCGCAGTGAGGATGAGTAATAAGCTGCTTGTTACCCAATTATGAAGTCTCCAATGTTATCGCAACTTTTCTCCATGGTTTCTGGTTTCCGTATCCCACTAAGCTTACGATGTTTCAGAATTAATGAATATATATTATCGTATACGTACTCTGTGGCAAATCAAAAGTATTTGTACAATAAAGATTGGTTCCGATTCTGGGTTTAATTGTGTGGCATTATAAAGCTTTTCACTCAATAAACTTTTCAAGGACAGCTACTTGGATTTTCCTCCTATGATATTTACTTATATACATACAATTGAGCAGAAAGATATAATCATGCTTAAGCTTATCAACTTGTTTCTGAAGACATGCAACAGAAAGTTATCAAGTTTCTAAGCTTTCTAGCCAAAAATAATAAAAGGAGATACAAAAGGCAAGAAAATATCCACCAACAGCAGTTACTTCCATGGTGTTATGTACAAAATGACGTCCACATGTTACCTAAGCTTAGTCATCTTCCTTTCCGTTGGTACTCGTTTCAACATCTTCCGCAATGTGGTAAGTTGAAAGGAAAAAGGAACTCTGATTCTTTTTCAGGAACCTGCATGAAAAAATAACCAGCATGAGAAAATGACAAATAGTAATCTTCAGGGAAAAGGAAAAGAGAAAATTATTGATGATTACAAGTAAATCCAAACTATTTTCCAAAAAATTCCTCCCAGAGATGTAGTAGAACTTTATATTTTTCATTCCAAGAATTGATGAAGTTTTTCTCAAAGAAGTGCAACATTTTTGGTTTACAAAACATGACACCAGTAGGATGTTTGTAAAATTTGTAAAGCTTCGTTGAACTAACTTTTCTGTACCAACCCAGCCACATAAGGTACAGTCACCAGCTTCCAAATTCATTATTACTCCAGTGATGCAAAAGTTTTTACAGATATCCATACGCATTGAAGACCATCCTAAAGTTCAAAGTGAATATAAGCAATCAATTTCAGCAATAGCCACCATCCAGTTGTCATACGTCATTTACATTATATAGAGTATATCTTGTCATCAGAAACTGACTCTAGTTGAAAGATAAAATTATAATTGCCTAGAAACAAAAAAAGAAAGGAATTAAAAACAACCAATGCAGTGAATAAAAACACAGCTTCTGCCAAGATTTAAAATTTAATCATAAAATGATAAAGAGCTCATACTCGAGGAAGTCCAGTAACATTTGGTGCAACTTTGTCGATGTTTCCTCTTCAATTTTTGCATGGACCAATAACTCTGGCAATTTAACTACAAATGACAGATTACAGTAAACTAACAGCAGCTAATTAAGATCGTTAGAACTTTTATATGACAAAGACGCAATAAATCATCTATCCCAAAGAGAAGTACATGAAGACCAAAAACTAAAATGTAGATCTTTAAGTCAAAAATTCTTTGGCGAGTTAAAAAATGAAATAACAACAACACTATCATTGCTTTATATAAGTGAACACATGAAGTGGTACATGTTTCTCAACACATTGACTTTGTCTATCAAGGACGAGCTTACCAAAGAGGCGTAATAGATGCTCAGCACCATATATAGTTGAGGGAGCAACCATAACTGCCATGGTGTCTTCATATTGTTGGCGCTCACTTTTGTACAGAAGCATTATTGGCAAAGCTTTGTCAAAGAAACAACGTAATCCTTTTATCATTTCCCTAGTTGAATCAGCTATCCTATACAGAGGAAAGGTTTAATTTTCGCTTATGTATCGAAATTGTTGATTAGAAAGAAAACTGCTCTGCAAAACCAGCTAAGCCTTAACTATAACAATTCAAAAATTGCGTGAGTAGAAGGAAGAGATCGAAAGGACACAAATAGTCAGATATTGAACTTACAACCCATCCTTCTCCAACCTATAATGACGATATTTCTCCAAAATGTCATCCACAGTCGGGGTGCATNGTAATCCTTTTATCATTTCCCTAGTTGAATCAGCTATCCTATACAGAGGAAAGGTTTAATTTTCGCTTATGTATCGAAATTGTTGATTAGAAAGAAAACTGCTCTGCAAAACCAGCTAAGCCTTAACTATAACAATTCAAAAATTGCGTGAGTAGAAGGAAGAGATCGAAAGGACACAAATAGTCAGATATTGAACTTACAACCCATCCTTCTCCAACCTATAATGACGATATTTCTCCAAAATGTCATCCACAGTCGGGGTGCATGGAAGTTTAACAAGCTGCAAGAAAGGTCATATAATAAAATACGTACCATGTTATGCATGACACTGAAAGATAATGATGAATGTTAGATACAGGTATACCGTATAATCATTAAAAAAAAAAAAAATACTAGTTCAACTTAGTTGCTCAAGTCTATTTTAACAGGTGGAGGCAGCAAATGAATGACATTACTGTGTATACATATATTGACAACATAATGAACCAATGCCATCTAATAATCGAAATGGTAGTTAAATTAAGTCATTTATCTTTGATAGCAACAGATGGTAGACCATCCAACAACAGTAACTTATATTAAATCCAAAGGGGAATAAATCTCGCCAGAAAATGCACCAGTGCATTCCTACTATTGCACTACTCATTGTAATTGAATGCCCATAAAATATAAGAACAATTTAAGAAGTCAGTAGGCTTTATATGCCATGGGTTCAAAAAATTAAAGCAAATTACTTGTCATACCAAAAATTACAAATTAAAAAAATAAGTAAAAAAAATGAAGAGTAGACATACATGAAGGGGAAACAGCAAAAGGCTCAAAAGAACAAGAAAATCTATATAAGTACTACAGAACCTTTAGTCTAGAATGCGCATCTTCTGTTATCAAATATAACAAGGTATTATGACAGGGACAGAATATAACTACCTTGCCCAGATGTGTAATTGATCCACAATCATCAACTAGTTGCTTCTGTAGAGTTGGCGGAATTTGGAGGTTCACAAAATTTTCCATTGGTATGTGGCCCTTTTCCTACCAATTGAAAAGCCATGGGCTTAGGAAGTAGATACACAAGCGATTGATGGATAACATTAAGCTGACTGGAACGAAAATTAAGTTAACTTCCATCAACAAAATGAATTTTCAGTTGAACGGATCCATAGAAATTAGGTATGCATGCATCAGCATAATGAAAGTTAATTAGGCAGATGTACACCAGAGCATACCTTATCAAGACGGTCATTCTTTCGTTTCTTGCCCCTTGCAACTGCATATAGCCAGAACAGCTTAGAGGAAATCTAATTTCAAGAATAATATCTCTGCTCCAAGGAACTCCAAAGACATTTTTTAAAGCAAAAAACTTACACAACCAGTTATCGCCTCAGTCGTACACAGTAAAAGGTCACAATAATATTGACTAGATCTCGTAAGAGCACATAACAACTTAAAGCAACGTTGCATTTGAAGGGTCTCCTTTTTGGTTGAAGGAAAACAATTGCTTGTTTTCCTATTTCTCAATAAGTCATCTCTTTTCTATTAACTTATCAGATATATCTAGAAAACCAAGGAAAATGTCCAAGGAATACAGCCACAACTAGAATGTCACTTCACACCAGAATCAGGGAATGCATGCAGAAGACATTGTTCTTTTTAATTCACCTTCAGTCCACTTTCAACAGAGTTTATGGTAACAGTTTAGTTTCTTTTCCCTTGTCTGTAAGGACAAAACTTATGATCCATCAATTATAATGCTTAACCCCAATTAAATGTAGGCATGTGATAATATGCTAACATTCCTGCTCTATGCAGTAGATAGTTCCAGATTTATTGCTCAATAAGGGCAAGTTAGATGACTACATGCAAGAAATTACTTCTATAAAAGAAGAATGAAAAAGCTTAACCCATAATTACACAGATTCAAGTTTAGGAAACAGATAAACATGAGATCAAACCTAACCATCAGTACTTCTTGGCTTCATCTGTGATGCATGCCCTAGCTTTAAATTCTTTGATTCAATTGTTTTGTTGTTGGCCAGCTGCCTTTGGACATTCCCATTTGTACGTTTCAGCAGACGATCCACACTGACCCATTCATCCCAGCTGTTGGAAGAAAAAAGTTCAAGAGACTAAAACTTCTGACAGTTTCTTATTAGTACAGTAAATCATCAATAAATGGAAAAATCTTAAGTATGCCAACTTAAAAGAATTAAAAAAAAAAAAATTCTTCATCTAGTATATTTGTTATAGAAAATTTAACACTTTCTACAAAATTGTATTATGGCGAAAATAAAATTAAAATTTTCCAAAAAATAAAATCACAACACCTATTGCACTAGTTGGTGTTATAAAGCTGTAAACTAAATTAAAATGCAACAAGTCTTAGAACTAAGTCAACAATTATGCTTCCAAGGTCTAACAATTTAACAATCTGAAGTCAAAATAAACCTTTTTTTTCTTTCAAATACAATTATAAGATCTAAGAAACCACCTGCATTCGTCCTGAACAAAAATTATAATTCACTAATTCTTCAACAATCTGTCATTAGTTATATAGACAGGCAGATGTACTCACTTGTTATTCCACCCCTGCAAAACAGAGAAAAGATTATGCAATCAAGACACTTTAGCAATAATATTCCTGTTGTTTCACAAACGAAGCAACTACAAAAATTAAAATTTAACACAACCAAAGACCATACTTACAAGGTAATGAACAAAATATATAGTGCCCTTCTTCCGGTAATGGACTTTTTTCACCTTAGAATTAAAACAGACTATTATTGTCAGAACAAAAAATAATCCTTAAAAAAGGAATTGGTAGACTCTATAAATGCTGCAAGCAATTTCGAAGTCATATATGAAATGATTATCTTCCTTCAATTGGTCGAATTATTTACATAAAACTAGGTTCCGTTGATTCAAACAAACGATATTGTTGATGCACGGTTTAAGCACCAACGAATTCTCACGTGCATAACGTTGATTGGCTGTTAAATACACGTGAAAATGGAATATAGAAAGCGAAATAAATGCAAAAGGAGTTTTTTAAGTGGTTCGGATGCTAAGGTAGCAAGTCTTATGTCCACTGATTTGTATTGATATGAGTGTGGGTCAGGTCGCAACTGCGGACTGACTTACAAAAGAGTTGGAAAAAGTAAATGTGTTTTTAGGAGAGAGAGAAAGACTTTTCTTCTTATGAAAAATGGCCGAATCCCCTTAATGAAGGGGTCTTCTTCATTTTATATCAAACTGAAGCGTGTGATCATCATTAAATCCCTGGTTTGGTGTGATTGTCAGGATTTAACTCGGATTTATGTCCCATTTTCCCTTTCCCAAACTGACTTCACACGACTTATTGCAGGGAAATGGACGCGTGTAAGCTCCATATCATTTGGCAGGTTTGACGTGTGCGTGTTGCTCTGACGGGAGCAGGTCACCCTTCACGTGACTTTTCCACGTCAGCCCTTTATTTTCGGCATAACAGATATAAACAATTTCCTACATTTTCACTCCCTTCAAACAATGAGAAAGAAAAGAAAAGTGACAGAGCACCTTGGCATCGTAAATGTGTTTGCAATGAAAAGCGAGGACCTTTTCATTTTCTTCAAACACGGGAGGAGAGTCGTCGTGTGTTTCTGTTTCTCCGTGTCAGCGTCCATCTTCGTTGCATCATCAGACTCCGTGGCAGAATCGTTATTTAGCTCCGTGTTTGAGCTTCCCATTTTCAGCTGACTTGTTTTTATTTTAACTTTTGTGGCACCAACACTGATTACTTAAAAGCGGATATTCCAAAGTAAAATCTAATAAAATAATGTGATGGTAAATAATTTATGAAATTATGACAGATGGTCGGGGGTTCAGGATTGTGGGTGGTTAGTTGGCCATGGCCATGGTATTGGTAACATTGGGGTTTTAAATTAGGCCGAACGACTTACATATATTCAAGGTTTTTCGAAATGATAAATTAGTATCCAAAAAATTTTGAAACGACAAACATGTACCTTCTATCATGTACTGTTAGTGATTTCTGTTTGTTCATAATGAAAAGACTAAAATGTCCTTAAAAGTTTGATATTTTAGTTTTTTATAAATTTAAAAATTTCTAAAAAATCTCATAGGTTTGTTAATTTAACTAAACACCCCCATATATAAAAAGTTTATTAAATAACAAAAACACCCCCATCACCCGCAGTGCTAGATTCCGGCCACCACCGCCGGAAACTAGCCGAAAAATTGCGTTACGACACAGACCCATGGGATCTGTGTCGTAACGTGTCGATCTGGTCTTTTCCGGTCAGATCCGCCACTGATATGGCCGGAAAAGGCCAGATCTAGCCATCAAGGCAGCAGATGGAGTTTTGTGGCCTCGACGGCCAGATCTGGCCAGATTTGTGGCTGATCTAGCTGGAAAAGGCCAGATCTACGGTTAGATCTGGCCGTCGTGGCCGCAAAACTAAAATATCAAACTTCAAGGGTATTTTAGTCTTTTCACTGTTAACAAATAGAAATCACTAACCACACATGACGGAAGGTACCTGTTTGTCATTTCAAAACCTTTTAGGTACCAACTTGTCGTTACGACAAACCTTGGATATGCGCAAGCCGTTTGACCTTTTAATTAACTAGTTCCTACAGTATTTTGAAACACGTGGCACGTTATAATTACACGATAACTCGGACTTTATTGTTGAATGAATCCAACGGACTACATCAAGCATTCATAATAAATCAGTTCAAAAATTACATTCTTTTTTAAATATAATAAAAATAATAATTATGAAATTTCAAAATTTGAATAATGATACACGTTTTCAAATGATATATCATCTCCTTTATATATGGTATTTTTATAACTGAGATACTGATTAAATTCCGTGGTACTATACTTTAGGATTTAGTAGTAATATCACATGCCATTAATGATTTCTGAACTTAAGATCCTATAAAACTTGTTTGTATACGTTAATTCATACAAGAGTAAACAATTTTTTTTCCACCCAAATAATGGTTTAAGACTATTTTTGACCTTCAGACATCTAAAACACTACTTTATTATCTAAATTTATATTTCGTTTTTTATTTTAGTATTGTTGCGACCCTACACTACCACTACCCTCTTTACCGATCAGCATTTACTAAAACCTTTCAAACCTAACTCCCGTCAACCTTGCCAATCACCAGCAATCGAGCTATTAGGGTTTGCACAACCACCCCTTCCAAGTTACATTCTGATCAATCTTATCTATCAAAATCCAATATTCCATCACTAAAAGACTCATCGGTCTCCACTCTTTAAAAGTCTCAATAGCTTGGAACGAATTTGCTATTTGTTTACCGTTAGAATATAAATTTGAGTAATAAAATGGTATTTCAAAAATCTATAGGTGGAAAAGTGTCATTAAACCATTATTTGGGTGGGAAAAAGTCGTTAACTCTTCATACAATCAATGTTGTTTTTATTTGTTTCAATGAATTTATTTTATATAAGTTTGTATGAGTAATATATTACCCATAAATAAATAAAGCAATATAAAGATGTTGATGGAAGATTTGATATGATACGATGAGACTAAAATTCTAGATTTATTTTTGCAAAATTAAGAAATGTTGTTAATGAGCAAACAATAAGCACCTTGATCCCACATAATGTAAGGGTCCGTTTGGGAGTTTCATAGTAGCAGTTACGAAAGTAAATCACCGTAGTGGTTTTGAGAGGTTTTTAGTAGTGGTTTTTAAAACATCTAACTTGTGCTTGGGAGTTTATTTTCCAGCGGTTCCGATAGTTTTTTAAAACGATAAATTTAGATATATGCCTATAAAAATACTTCAACTTTAACTAGTACTTGAGAGTTTTGTTTTTTCAATTACAAGGTAAGAGTTCTTTATTTGTTTTCTACTTATTAATATTTTGTAACTTCAAATGTGATAAAGTTTCCTCATCTTTCTTTGTCATTCTTTGCAGCTTTCTTTGTCATTTTTTGCACCATTTGAAATGATTGAAAAATTGTAACTTTACTTCTTCATAAAGCATCTAGAAATGAGATTTTAATATATTTTTTTATGATTACTTAAAATTATTTTATATTTAATATAGTTGGAGATGAGTATAATATGGTTAAATTTTTTTTTTCTTTGGATATAATTGGGATAGGATATTTGTGGAATAAAATTTTAAAACCAACCAAAGCATCTCAATTTAGTGTGTTTCATAAACCCTTAAAAAATACACTACACTAGTTCTGAGGGTTTTTGAGCCAATTAAAATTAGTACCTAAAAAATCTGATAAATAATAGTTTTAGAACACTTGAAAACTAGTTTAATTAAAAACCCTTCAAAAGTAATGGAAAAAAAAACTTCCAAAGCAGACTCTAAAACACTAAACAAAGCTTAGAAGGACAGATGGGACCTGGTGATTATATATAGTATATATATATATATATATATATATTGGCAAATCAGGTAACTGTACAAGAGAAAGAATAAAGAATAATAGCCTAACAAGGGGACACCTCTTTAGAGTTTAGACACACTAGGACAAACCCAAGGGACAAGGCAAGGCAAAGGCTAAGAAAAGCAAAAGGAAATTTCATAAAACATGAAGCCACCTTAGACTAATACTTTGTTACTTATTAAAAAATAGAATAAAGACTTTTCAAGTAATGTATTTGGATTTGAGTTACAATCGTAAACTAATAAAAGATATTTGCATAACTAAAAGAAAAATACTATACATACATTATTTTCATACAATATTTTTCATACAACATTATGTGGTAAGATATGATTGGGTGAAAGTTTAATTTTAACTTTAAATTAACCAATCATATATTGCCACATAATATTGTATGAAAATGATGTATGTGTAGTATTACACTAACTAAAACTACCTACCCGCCCTTTCATACTCTCTCTAAAGCCGTCTTACCGTGAGAGATGAAACCAAAAACTAATTAGCATGGTCCAGCTCTACACAACCAGTTAAAGCCGTCTTACCGTCTCTGAGTTTGTTTGATTCTTGCACTTAGAACCTTAATTTGGACTAGTGAAGTAGAATAATATTACATCAGATCATGAATTTTGGTTTTAACAACCGTGAGTATGAAATGGTCATGCAATTGCAATCCTCCATATTGGTTTTGTCTTGTAGCTTGCACACGCACGCATGCATAACAGTTGGCGTGCACAACCAATTAATATGTCTTCATTAGTTCAGCAGTCGCTGATTTTTCTTTTTCAACTGCAGCGCTAATTCTACATTAACATCTCAGGTTACTGCATAACTTTTGTTAAACCATTTAAACTTATGATATGTGTATTATTTAGTCTCCACATATTGATGGATGGTCTAACACCTTAATTAATAGTAAGGGCGTCTGCCATAGTGTGCAGCCTGGCTAAAATTAATGGTGCTCTGCATTTTCTCGCTTTCGGTCTATGGAGGCTGCAACCGTACGATAATTTTATACATTCCAATTGAGCAATGTTCCCGTGTAAAAAATTTCAGACAAAAACGTTATATAGTTATATTCTCCTGCAATTCGATCACCTTAACTACATGACAAAATGAATAGCTAATGTTCTCCATGAACACAAGAAAAACCTGTTATATCCAACCAAGATCTCTCTATCACACCCTCGCATCAACCATAGACCTTTATGCTTGAAATTGAAAAAGGAATAAACACTCTTATTGATTAATATAATTCGGTACAAATAATGAAATAAAAGCTTCATTACATAATTTAAAAGCAAACAGAGCTAAAGAACTCATCATGAAAAGAAATAAGTACTTAACTACACCCGTAATGACAATTTATGACCAAAACACAATTAACAAATCAAATAACAACGATATGTTTAATAAAAGATTGAAAGAATCACTGGTGTGTGAGTCGCTATTTAGTGTCCCTCACCAGGACTTGGTCCAGATTTCGTAACTCCTAAAGTCTGAGCATCCGTGAACTCGTGACCCTTTCCTCCTGCACTTGGACCTCCGGTTTTAATAGCTTGAATATCCAAGCCATCGAACAGAATCTCGATCCCTTTGTTTATAGGGTTGCGGGACGGCGCATCATTGAGAGGACGAGCTTCTGAAATGAATAGAGAAGAGCTTACTAAAAGAAGAAGGAAGAATAAGCAAAGAGACTTGACAGTTGTAGCCATTTGGAAGGTGAATGAATGCTTTGGTTAACTTGGGCTTAACTGGATATTCAGAGAAAGTTGTGTTGTTTGATATGCAAAAAGAGTGGAGCTTGGTGTGGTATTTATAGAAGCGCGCAGCAACGTAGAAATGCAAGAGCAAAATTTGAGTGAGGAAAATATGAGGAAGTTGGGCGCCGTTGAAACACGTGGGCGTTTGTGACAAATATGGGGCCGCCTCCTCATCAAGGAATGAGAAGTGAGAACGTCAGTCCTTAGGTTGAGGAAGGAACGCATTAAAACAGAATGCAGTCCAAGTTTGAAGTTTCATCTAAGTAGTTGAATATGAAGTTTGATTGAGATAATTTTCTTTGTTAATTTACTTAATTGTATAATGTATCTTTTTAACTAATAGCTTTTCCCCTGCGTAAGACCCTGCGTAATACTTTTAAAAAGGCAATGTTAAGTGGGATTTGGGGACCAATATTGTCT